GTGTGTGTGTGCGCCCACCATCCATTGTCCTGTCTCACTAATCACAGCAGCTCCGGGCTTCATTTAATCAGTGGAGCGCGGCGTCCTGTAATAACTTATCAACAGTCGTACCTTATAGATGAAGCCTTAATTGCTGACATGCTGCAGAGCTGCTCCCTCGCTGTCATCATCATGATGCGAAACACCGAGCGGCGAGGCGATCACAGTCACTCCCGCGTCGCCTTAATCTTAAAGAACATTCGTTTATTTCCATTTTGTCATTTTTAATAAAAAAAGGTTTTTTTGATTTGAAGTTGCCTAATTACTCAGAGCTCCCAGCGCTCCTGATGCTGCATCTGTGTTATTGTGGTCTCATCTGATTGGTCCATTTGAATAGGATAGTCAGTTTTACCCGTCGCCTGTAACGGGCTGATGGGGCTCTGTCGTCACCCCGCCGGGCGGCGTCGAAGCCTAAGTTTGAGAGCGAGGCGACGCAGGGTGTTAAAGGCGATTCCACAGGTGTGTCTGCTGCGAGGCTGACGGGAGCTCAGGTCGCTCCTCAGGTCAGACGTGGCATTCACAGGCTGTGATTGGCCTGAAGGGTGAGGCTAACTCAGGACCGTGGCTAAGAGTGAGTGTGGGTGGGGTCTGTGCTAGCTTCCAGTCTGAGGGGAAGAAGCTGTTTGTGAGTCTGTGGGAGTGAGACCTGATTGACCTGAGGCGAGTCCAGAGGGCAGCAGGTCAAACGGGTGGTGGGCGGGATCGATGAGGTTTAGTCTCCAGCTCTTGGTTAACGCGTCCGCGGTTTGTCAGCCTGAAGGCAGAGCGTCAGGTGAGGAGCCGGACCGGGAGCTGTGATTTCTGCCACCATTGAGCCTCAAACACCTGAGAGAAGACGCTCGCTAGAGACGGTCTGAGCTGCGGCGTTTGCAGGGACGCGCTGAACAAAAGCAGTTTTTCTGGACTGGCAGCAACACGTGAACACTCGGATAAGTTTCCCCAGTTTCACTGAAAGTTGTGGATCTGTGAGCGCTCGGAGGAACATCAGGCTGTCGTGTTCCTGCTGAAGGTTTTGAGCTTTGAAAGACGCAGCTTCCTACAGCTAAACCACTGACACTCACCAATTATTTCCCAAGCTAGTTATTAAAACAGAGACGCGTCTTTATTCAAAAGTCATGGCTGTAAAATTCACTGTAGTCATTTCTTCTGTCCCTGGACTCAAAAAAGCTCGAGACGAGTTCGAGTCACAGTTCAAGCTGCACTCAGTTACGTTCTCTGTGGAGAAGATGTGTCTGTATGTTTGTGTCTCGTTTGTGTCTTTGTAGCTGTTTCTTGTGTCTCTGTAGCAGCTGTACTCGTCTTAGCGCCTGACTCTTTGTTTGTGTCTTTGCAGTTGTTTGTTTTCTCTTTGTCGCTGCATCTGTGAGCCTGCTCTAACCTGTGTTCTGTGTTTTTCATCTTTTTGTATCAGTTTGTGTCTTTTTAAGTAACGTTTAGGTGAAGCTCAGAGGGCCCTGACTCTGGGCCTGACTCAGTAACACGCTGTCTGCGTATGTGAGGGTAATAAAGTTTTGTTGTGGCTTGTCAGCTGGTGTTTGTGATTAAACAGCTGATTGAGCAGCTGTTCGCAGCTGAAGAAGACATTGAGCAGTTTTTCCTCTTTGACTCGAGACCTGATGGATTAATCTGTGTCGAGCTCAGAGGAGCTTAAACAGAAGCCGCAGTGATGTTCG